GTGAAGATAAAAGCAAATCAACAGTAAACACGTGGGGTGGACGAGAAACTGCTCTTCTTCACCTCCGGCTCTCCAGTAAGAACTTTAAACAAGCCGACACATCTGTCCAGCAGAGAAACATCTGGTTATTTCTGCCCTGCACTGTTCCCTTCAGATAGAATATTATCATTTTATTCTTCACCCATTAAGTTATTTTTGTTTCCTTATTTTTGCTTTATTCTGCTGATTGGACCGTTTCACCACAGAGATTATGTTCGACCTCAGTGTTTATTTCCTTACACTTCAATCCTATTTATCCATATTGTATATTCTGTATCTATATATGTGTATATATGTGGTGTATTTATGCTTATATCCTTACTCTCATTCCCCTTAATGTATCTGTAACATGCAACTTCTTTCGATGCTTTGCTACTGGAAACTGAATTTCCCGGAGGAACCCACCCGAGGGATTAATAAAGTTTCATCTAATCTAATCTGATACATTTCACTTGGATACATTATAGATGATGCATTTTTAGTTACAGAGCTCTTTAGCACATTAATTATTACATATAGAAAAACTACATTAACAGTAAGGTTTGTTGTACTTTTACATTTTTGCCTAACTTTACTATTCTGCTGCTTTATTTATGTATTATTTTAAATTATTTGTTTTATTAAATGCAACCTTTTATACAACTGACATCATGACACATTTTTGTCACATTGTATTTTAATTCATTTTATCGAGTCACTCTAATCAACTCATTTTGTTTTTTCAGGACATTTTATCTGAATTTATTTCAGTTTAATATCTAAATGTGTTGACTGAGCCAGTGTTACACTCAGCAGCACCTTTTCCATCAGCACCTACGTTTGGTTCTCTCGGGGTCCCCAAGCGATCTGAGCAGGCACTAAAATGTGATGTCATCAGAATGCTTGCCACTGATTGGCTGGTCAGCAGTATCACTCGATGAGTCATCATGAAACCGCCATTTCTGAAACCTGGCAACAAGGGGAACGGCTACAAAAACAACGCCGTGTTCTCCGAGTCTGATGAAAAGCCACAGACAGAGCAGCAGGGATATCGTCGCCTCGACATCCACTTTTTTGTAGCGTTTGTGTCGCATATTAGTCACGTCGCAGGACGCTCGGACGTGTCGCTATGAGGACAACCATGCATGTCAGGTAGATCCGGATTGTAGTGGGAAACCAGTCGTGGCGATCTGAGCAGGTGCTAATGGAAAAGGCTTGTGGACTTTTTCTATTGTTTGGTTTATTTGAACTAAAATGAAACATTGCCCACTCACAGGTCTGCTTTCAGACAGCACTTCATTCGACATTTTGCACTGAAATCACGACATGTATCGGTCGTTCTCAGACATACTTGTAGCCGAACTTGTCCATGGCGATGGCCGCGTGCTTGGGGTTCGAGTCGCAGACGTACGTATTCCGGTCGTCTTCTGGAATGAGGTCCACATCGTGGAAGAAGAGACAGTCCCAGTCCTCCTCCTTCATGGCCTCCCGGAAACCGGCGTTCATCAGCTTGGCTCTGTTGAAGGTGTAGTTTCCAGCCTGCAGAAGGAAAACAAAAATGTTTCTTCACGTGAAACAAGTTTAAACTGAATATTTGTGTAACAAAGTCAGACGTTTTCACTCAAAGAAGGAAGCACGACAGACTTTAGCAGGTCAAATATTCAGCCACAGAAAATTCTGCTTGTGCTAAACAAGGATTAGTGAGGTAAACTATAAAAGGAGTGTGAAAAAAGTCATCTTTGGATGGAACGAGCAACCAATCAGAAGACTGTTGCATAAAAGGAGGAGGAGCTTGTTTCAGAC